TCGGCCTGGACATCCACTGCAAAACGCTGTGCAAGATGCCGTGGGATGTTTAAGGACATTTTGCGTCTATCATTTATGTAAAATATATACTAAAAAAAAATGTCTGGAGGAGTTAGGCTGTATTTCATGTCTCAATGGGTTTGATTTACTTTTAAGTTTATTGTGCATTTAACATAGCTGAGAAATTTGAAACCCGACGTCAATATGACGTAATGATTTTTGTCCTCGCAGTATTATGAATTATGTTTGTCCTGAAGTTTTTGTTTTTACCTAACACTGCCCTAAACCGATAGAAGTTAACTAAACACTTTGTTTTAATCCGTCACCGGTAATTACACCAGGTGGTGCTGAAACCGCGGTAGCCATAGTGATGATTTTGCTCGATTACTTGCAGCACTTTGTGGTGCCGGAGACATTCATTCGATTAGAGCTGTGAAAAAAAAAACACTTGCCTCCTTACAGATTTCTCGCTCCCACCTTTATGACACAAGTACTTTTCTCAGATCTCAAAATAATTTTAATACTAGAGGAAGGTCATCTTGAAACATTGTTTTTAAAAGCTGAAGGATGTAACTTTCATTAAATATGTAATATATGACATATAAAACATACTGTCATACGTGACAGTATGAGACAGATCATCTGTGCTCATTCCGAGCTACTGTTGCTGTTTGAAGAAATGCTCCCCTCCTGACCAGAAACAACCAATCAGAGCCAGGAGGAGGGTCTTAGCGATGTCAATCAAACTCATCTACACGCTGCTAAATGTCTTAATGGTGGAGAAACAACCGACTGATACAGGAAAACCGTTTATCCGCTAAACTAACTACCCTGAACGTTCACGACAGGCTCACGACAGGCTCTGCTATCAAGCCCGAGGTTGTGATTGACAGCGCTTAGACCCTCGTCCTGGCTCTGATTTGTTGCTTCTAGTTAGCAATGGAGGCACTTGGTGGCCGAAAAATAATGGAAAAAAATTCAAGAGCTGTTGGAAAAAAGACCATCCAAGCTTTTCAACTGTCTCGCTCCATTCCCGGTCGTTTTCCAAACCAAGCTTCCTCCGACTGCTGTCAGCTCCGACTGCTGTGCAGGTAAAGCACAAACGTCTCCACACGGCTTCACTTCAAAACCAAACTTTTCTTTCCAGCCTTTAATAATTCCACAGTATCGTTAAAAACAATTTATGTTCACCTCGAGCAAGAGAAGAGTATGGCGAAAACAAAGCAAACTGACAAAACCACAAAGGGATCGGGCGGACGAGAAGAAGCTTAGATCAAAGAAAGATGAAAGTGAAAAAAAAAAAAACCTTGAGAGAACACGGCGCAGCTTGTGCTCACCTGCCACAACATCTGGGCTCTGTCAACGGGTGTTTGACTTGTATTTTGCGCAAACATGCACAGACACGCTCACATCCACTGTTTTCAAGTCAGAGTTGGGGAATATGTGACCCACTTCAGAATTGTACCTTCTACATCACCAAGCACATCCGTCCTATCCCTCTTCCCGACTCTCTAAATTAACTGGCTCTGACTCCCAGGTCTTCCTTCCTTTTGCCGTTTCCATCGAGAATTCTCCAAGCAGGGGTTTCTTTTGCTATTTTTCGCTCCAGGCTTTCATCTCTGAGTTTGTTCTTTAATAGACTCACGTATCTCTGTTCTCATCAAGAGGTCGTCAGAAAACCTGTTGTGTCGTTTTTATTGTCTGTTTGGCGTGTCAGCGATTTTCAGACCTGTTTAGCTTTTTCCAACCTTCCAAATACAAACTTCATAAAGTCAGTCAGCACTTTGCAGAACTGAGTTTCACTTTCGTTGCAGGCGCAACACGTCTGGGCCGAATCTCTACCAGTATTGCAGTATTTCCACATCCGCTTGTACTTTACCGGGGTCTTTTCTTCTCTTATGCTGCTTCGCTACATATTTTCTTCCATCATGCTACTTTTCATCTATTTCTGCCTTCAATCTTTCAACCTGTCCTTTTTCATATTTCCCAAACTTTCATTCTCTTCTCCCTGTTGAGCATTTCTTTTTTCTTTTCTTTTTTCCAGTAACCATTTGCTCTTTCGATATTTCCCAGGTTTCCCTCCTCTTCTTTCATCTTCGTAGCCGTCCACACTGCCTACTCTTTAGGAGAATTTATTTCTTCCCTTTTTTTCCCCTCAACTGGGAATGGCGAAGTAATTCACCAAACTACTTCTATGCACGCTCTTTGTATGCTCAAAACACACCAAGTCTACTCTTTATTCTGCTCCCTCTACACTTGTTGCCATATTGTTTTGTTCTCACTTGGGTCTCCAGGGTGTGCTTCAGCTTAACCAAATATCTGCTCCTCATCAATGCCTCCAAGCGCGACGCAACTTTAACATCCGCTGCCTTTAAATTCACTTTGCATCCCATCACATTTATCTTTCTACCATTTTCTTTCTCAGATAAAAATACCCGGATCCCTCTTCACACATCTATAAGTGAAATTTTCAATTCTTCCACGGAAAATAACTTTTATTCCCTCCTCACTTCTATTTTTAGGCTTCTATCAGTATTAAGAGGATCGCCGTAATGGGGGTGACATTATCCTTGGGCCCGATTTTTATTGGCAACTTCAACTAAAAATCAATTTAAAGTAAGCAAACTGCATTCCCCCCTCCTCCAGGTTAATGTGTTGAGAACGTCATAGAACAAAACAAAATCATTTAACAATGCTGCCATCTGCTGGGATTGTAAAATCACACCATCAGTCTTTCATGCATCCTTTCCTGCCTGCCTCACAAAGGACGTCTGTTTTCTTCAGCTTTTCCCTCAGTCGCTTCGGCGCATTTACTCAGAACAGGACTGAAATTTTCAAAACTGCAAGTTCACGCCTCGAGTCACTGTGTGCAGTTTCTCACTCCTCTTACACTTGGTTTGGTTACGGACGGTGGCGATGAACTTTCCTTCGCAATGTCACACTTGGGTTTGTCAGTTTACACCTGCAAGTCGCAGATGCATTGATGTGTCACCTTTCTTCAGATAAAACTCATTTCCTTTACGAGAAGGTTGCAAATGTGTGACATGTCTCTTAGGTTGTGTGAGTGGATGTCTGGAAAGGTGGACAAAACTTCACTTTGTAGATGCAACCCTTGGTAAATCTACCCAGCTCTTATGGTCGATTTCGCTTTCTAAATCGGCTTAAATGTTAACCCGAGTTTTAACTATCAAAGCTACTGAGTTAATATTCTGAATCTGCTGATTTAGCACATGCTGTAGTTTTGTAACACTACCCAGTAATTTTATAGTCTCCCTAGAGATGCTGTTAAATTTTCTTTCATTTCTCCATATTTCTAAGGACACACTTCCTGCTTGTTTCGACCACATGAATGTGATTGGACGTGCTTCTCAAAGAAATGTACATTTTATTTCTACTTGCCCATGACAGTAGCTTGAACAGTTTGGTTTAGAGACGCGCTAAAATATTATTACTTATTCCAAACTTATCCTGTTGTTGCTAACACCAACAATGCTTTTTTTTTTAACTTCAGTTAGTGTGAGACAACTGGAAGAAAAGCTGAGAGACAGAGAGAGAGAGAGAGAGAGAGAGAGAGAGAAAGGGAGAAAGGAAATGATGTTCCAGGTGGTTATAACCCTTAGTCATCTCAAAGACCTCTGATTGTTGAATGAGGCAAATTACATTTTGTTTGTTGGGTTTTCTTTTTTACATACACTAACATAATTCAGTTTTTACATGTCAGAACTTATTCTTTCAGGACTGCAGTCATGAAGACCAACATGTTGGTTTTTGGTTCTCTGTATTTGCTGCTTGCTTGGATGTTTCCTTTATTTGCCCATAAGGTAAGCAGAGCTTCTGTTCTCACTTGGCTCTCCAGGGTGTGCAGGGTGTTCTAGTGTAAAGTATTATTTATTTCAGAGTCTCAATCTAGATATCAAGAAGTCAATATATGCACTTCTCATTGATGCTGTAATCACTGAAAAATGTCAAAACAAATGATCACAAACAGCCAAGAATCAGTCAGAACCAAACTGTTGGGAGTTAATGGCTGATATTGAACAAAAAAAACTTTGACACAATATTTTAGAATTTTCACTGCATTATAGATTAAAATATATATATATATTTTTTTATATCTGTCAAAAATATTTTGACAGATATATTGTGGGGGTAAAGAGCCCCAACAAACACAAATACTAAAATTACTCCGATAGGCTGCTTGTGCGCACCACTTACATAATATAGCGTAATTGAACCATTAAATAAAACATAACGGTAGCTTTTGATTTTTTAACGTACATTAATAAGTACTGATGCTGAATCAGGAGAAGGAAGAGTCCAAAGTGTAAAAGAAGCTGTCCATACCATGCTGTAAATTTTTAGGGTTTGCGATTATTTTATTTTTTTTATTTCTGCAAGAAATTACAGTTCTTGCGGAAATAAAGAACTGCATTTCCACAAGAAAATATCGGCCATCTTTACAAATGCCCAGTAATGAGGGGCATTTGTTGCATCAGTTAGTGAACTGATGTAACAAATGCTTTCCTGAAAAGCATTTGTTACGGTTCCTGAAACCATAAAATCCTATCATACCTTGGCATTTTGTTTTTGCCTTCAACCAACACTAAAACAGTAATTTAAAAATAATCAAACAATACATTTGTCAGATTATCAATAGTTTTTCATTTGAAAGTAGCACATATAATAGACACATATTTAGGTGTATTTTATAAAAGAGCTTCCAATGCAATCAATGGTATATATAGAATATGCATCAATAGGCATCAATGGTATGAAAACTTTCCTTGAGGCAGATTCACAACAAAATACCACAAAGGTGTTATAATATAATTAAAAGTACACTAAATTTATCTATTTTGTTTTATGAAGACTTGGTCTTGATATAGGAGATGATTACACTGGTGTGTTTATTTTCCCATCTGAGTTAATATTCTGAAAAACGTGTAAGCAAATACAATAGATTCCTTTGGATTAACATTTTTTTCTCTCTTTCCTTGTAGATCTCTGGAACCTTCATTACACAAGATGATCGGTCCATCCCCCTGGACATGGTCGACAGTTCAGTTGACGACATGTACTCTACCTGCGCTACAAAGATGGAAGCAAAGGTCAAAGGCACGTACTTCAAAAAGGAAATGAGGGACGTCTTCAAAAATGTGTGGATATCATCAGAAAAGTGTGCAAAGAAGAAAATCAAAGAAAGAGAGAGAGGAGATGGGGCTTTAACAAAAGATCACCTGCAAGCAATTTGTGCGTACACAGCTGGAGGACCAGAAAACCTCTATAAGACATTCAACGACGCAGTCCGGACCAACAGAGCACAGTACAGTTCAACCTTTCCATTCCATTCTTTACATTTCTGGCTGACCAGAGCGATACAGGTCCTCAAAACCAGAGACGGTAAATGTCGCACAACTTTCCGCAGAACTAAATCCCAATTCACTGGCGTTGTCAGCAAAGTGATTCGGTTTGGCACTTTTACCTCGACCTCCAACTTACCAACTCTGACCAGCTTTGGTACGACGACATGCTTTGAAATTAGAACCTGCCACGGGGCGTATTTGAAAAAATACCCAAAGCTCGGAGACAAAGAGCAAGAGGTGCTCATTCCACCTTATGAGACGTTCAAAATAATCAGCAAAGATAAACCCATACAGCAACTTTCCGACTGCAAGACTGTTTACATTCTGAATAGCACTGGTGTCCAAAGCAATCTTGACTGCCAACTTATAGAATAAATACTTTGGTAATTGTTTTTTTTTTCTCTCTCTCTCTCATTCTCTTTTAAACCCGTAATTATGTAACTATGTATTTTAATCTAAATTTACACTTCTGGCATTTTAAAACAATGTCATTCACAAAAAAGAGAAGGACTTAGAGATGTTTTCTTGATGCTGTGTATTTTTTTTTGTTTTGTTTGTGAATACACAGCACAATGACCCCTAAAGGAAAATCAGGTCTGGTTTAAAGTTGTGGGGAAGATTAAGGAAGGGTTATTAAGCTTTAAAACAACATCTCTGCAGCCGTTGAACACGTCAAAAGCGCTTTTTAATCCATCATCTGGAAAAAGAAAGAGTTGTTGTTTTTTTTAATGCATGGGAATATATTTTTCAGAGGACAAATGTTTTTGACATGTTTTACCAATAGTATTGCATTTGTAAAGTCTGTAAAATAATGAATACTTGAAAAATGTTTAAGAATCATTCATGTTTTATTGCATTCTGTAAGTTGAATAAATTGCCGGGTTTCACATTTTTGTACAGGTTTCCGCTTCAATGAGTAAGGTGAAAATAAAAGTTAGTTTTTTCCTGAAAAGTGTGTTCAACTCCTTTCACCCCTAAATAAAATAAAGTCTAACAGCCAAAGAGAAAAAAGAAGATGGGCAAGAACGTGGGAGCTGTACCGAAACGTTAATCCATCCAAGAATAATGGGTAAAAATCTAATTGGTGTCTAGATTTGAAAAGCTGGTAGAAGAAGTTTTTTTATCACAAAATTCTATAAAAAGAAATTCATAATGAAATTAATACCTTTGTGACAAAATATTAACATTACTTTTACATCCAATGCCTTTTTTTCTTTAAAAGCCACATATTGCGCAAACCCCAATTTTTTGAAACTCCCCTGCACCATCACCCACTCATTGCTGTCACACACAAATAAAAAGTTTCCATTGTGGCTACTTTTTACAAAACATCGTGCATGCACCAACATCCTTTTGAAATGACATGGTTTCTCACAGGAAGTTGTGTTTTCACACCATCTTTAACAAACCAAAACAATAAGACCCGTTAAACTCGACAGCTCTGACACAGCGTTTCATTCCTCATCCTAATGTCTCATTGTTGGCGTCGTTTTTATTAGACTTCTATATTGTGAAGCCTGTTCCGATATGTTAAGGAGTGCATTGCACAAGACGCAAAATAGGAAAGGAACCTTAACCTTACACAAACAGACATAAACATGCAGTGAATAAATCAATTTGTTTGCACCAAAGACTTAAGAATAAACATGTTTCCACAGAGGCTCTTTATATGTGTATGTATTTGGAAATTTAAAATGACATTTGTGATAGACAAGCAAATATTGCAGAGGGAACCCAAAACTTCTTGTAAGGTACAGCAGAAGAAAATGTCCTCCCTACGTCCCCTAGGGGGCGCCAGATAATTCTGTACATAATTTAAAAGCTACTCCCAGGTGAAAACCAAACAATTAACAGAAATATTGTAACACCTAGCTCAGTGATATTGAGTGTTACTTTCAGGAGGTGCCCTCTGGGTGAGTCATGTGATCTGTGAGGGCTTCCTGGTGTGTGTGGGCTCTGTGTTGGCTGGACATTAAATCCATGTCATTCCTTAGACAGTGCTGCCATCTGCTGGAATTTTAAAGAAACTTCACAACTTTATGCTAATAAACATGAGAACATTTCTCTAAATCTTTGACGATCATAAAAAAGTACAATCTTTTTTTTTTTCACTCAAAGTGACATTTATATACTACGCAGATTTATTAAATGTTGAGGGGAATGTTTCAAGTCTGTATTTTTTGTAGTATTAGTTATGGATAGGTAATAGAAACCCAGAATTCAGTATTTTGGAAAGTTATTGTATTGTGGGAAAAGCAAAGTACTTAAAACACACAGTGTGACATCGTAAATGGTTCATTAACTCAAAAAACCATTCATTCTCATATCGATTGCTAGAAACAGAGATCTATTTAGGAAATTAAAAATCATATAAATTAATTTTTCCACCAGAACTTTATTTTCCTTTGATTTTGAGTGATCAAATATTCACATCCAGGCATCTTTTTAACAGGTGTAGTTACTGCTATTGCCACTAGAATAATAGTTCTAGAATAGAAAATATATTGGGGTGATTTGCAATTTTAACAACCTTATTTGAGTGCTTTAAAAATAACTGCAACAACAGCTTGGGAGCATTTTAGCTATTTAAAACTAAAAACTAATCAATAACTCTGATAGTTATTGACATCCAGTGATATGAAACACTTATATCATGACATGTTTTTCAATCGTATCGTCCAATATTACATGTATATTTTTACATTTCTTCCTCATTTATGTGGTCTTCAACAAATACAAGTGCGTTGCCTGTGTCAGTGTTTTATTTGCTTATCCATTCTTGACCTTGTCGTCATAAGTGCCACTGCCCTTATAACCAGACACATATCCACTGGTGTCTGTCATTTCCTCACGCCCAGATAATCCTTTCCCTTTGCCTGACTCGTCAAAGCGCTCCTTGTGTGACCCGGTGTACTTGGATGTGTCCGTCAGTCTGTCCACTCCTCCTACCTTTGACGCTTTCTAAGAAGTGACGAAAAGCAGAAAACGTCCGGTGAGAAATCTAAAGTAGTCAGTAGAGTTACATGCAAAACAGCTCATTCAGTTCAGATACGAGAAAGGAACCTTAACCTTACACAAACAGACATAAACATGCAGTGAATAAATCAATTTGTTTGCACCAAAGACTTAAGAATAAACATGTTTTCATAGAGGCTCTTTATTTGTGTATGTATTTGGCAAATATTGCAGAGGGAACCCAAAACTTATTCCAAGGTACAGCAGAAGAAAATGTCCTCCCTACGTCCCCTAGGGGGCGCCAGATAATTCTGTACATAATTTAAAAGCTATGATTTGCTTATACTTACGGTGACTCCAACATTGGCAGGATCCTGCCCAGCAACGAGACCGTACATATGCTGAACAGCCTCCTCTTGGCTCTTGCCTTTGAATCGCTTCGGAGCCAACTCAAGCAGGGCCTGGTTGAACTCTTCAAATGTGATGACACGAGCGGTCTTTGCCCTGGTTTAAAGAAAAAAAGGGACAAACCCTGTTATTACAATTTTTTTCTTGTTTAATCTGTCATTGTCCTTTAACGTCAACCTGTCAGTGGAACTAGAGATAAGAATTAGCCAACTGTATGTTTCCGTATAAATATTTATTAATATGTCTTGCCCTATTTAAAAAAATATAAACTTGAAAATGTCATATGAAGTTCTTATGTGGAGATATATTTTGGTGTAACATATATCTACATTGCTGCTGTAATGATAGCCTTTATCAAAATAAAACCACATACTGAGCTGAAATGGTTATTCCAATGTAGAGAATTTACTCAGAAAAAATTAAGAAAACAAGTCAGAATAATCACCAAACATGAAACAGACATTCCTGCTCTTTGTTGTGGGGACACTTTGCTAACATTAATATTATGAGAAGATGACTCCTGTCCTAAGACTTACTTGACTTTGCTGAAAACTATATCAACATCAGTGGAAGTGACGTGCTTGCCGTCTATAATGTGACAGTCTTTGCACATCTTGGCAAAGTTCTTTCCATTCATCTCTCTCCCAGTCGCATGAGGATCTCCGTGGACTGCAAACTTCTGGAAAGCGGTCTGCGCATCTGCGAGGGTCGCTGATCCGGATGCCATGCTGAAACAGACACACGAATATTTAATATTGAGAGAAATATCTTCAATTAATGATGTCACTGATAGGATCCCATTCTTTGAATAATTTGACAGTGATAAGAACACAAAGTTACAATTATTATATTTTTTTGGGCTGTCATTGCATGGGAAACGACAAAAAGCACCTGGATGAGATTGCAGTAAAATGTCTACATTATTTTACGTGTAAAGTTTTACCTCTTTGTTTCTATCTAAAACATTCAACTTTTCCTCCTAAAAGGTATCAACACATCTAAAATAAAAAGCACAAAGTCATGACAGGCTTGTGGACGAGCATTTTTAAAAATGTCGAAAGCAACATGACGTCAGCGCGGAGCCCGTTTCTAGGAAACGGAACGCAGCATTTAACCGCCCAATGCAGGACAATACCGTATTTCACCATAATTAGTCCTGACAAACACTACTAAGAAATATGAGTGACATTCTTAATAACTACAAACACAATGAACACCCACTGTTCACGGCAAATTCTCTAAATTTGCCGTTACGCCGTCTCTTTGAGTGCGAGAACATTTCCATTGCCTTTCGTTGTGTTGCTACAAGGACCTGAGCTGTTGAGGTAACGCCTGAAATGTGGAACATAAAACTTACCTGCTGTTGTAAATGCAGTGATAAAACGTGAAATTTCTGGCAGCTGCTTCACCTCCGCTTTCCTCAGTCCCCTGAATCCCCTCTTGAACCGCTGCTAACGACTAAAGGTTAAAGTCGTTAGAAGTTAGAAGGTTAAAGTCGTTAGAAGTTGCTAAGAGACGTCGCCGGGAGCTTTGTGAAGTTACGATTGGTGCCTTTAGGAGGCGCTGTTTCTTCCTTGTTTGACTAGGAGAAATCAAGTGAAGCTGAAACGCCGAGCTGAGCCATCACTGCTCATCACTGCTTTTTTAAAACGTGCTTCCATTTATTAAAGCGTCATTTAGAAGTAAACAAAATTATGTTTTTACTGCCAATGCATACGTCTGCTGTGAAATCTATTTGTATGGCGTTATTTTTTAACGACTCCTAACAAATGTGTGGACTAAATGTGTTCAAAAGGAAGATGGCTTTTCCTTAGTTGTGATATTGGCTGCAAGTTTGGTCATGCAAGTGTCGTCAATGTGTTTCTAATATCTTCTGGAATTTCAATCATTTCGTGTTTGCTGACCTCTTGTGGTTCAGGTTCTTACTTGTTGGCCTGTGATATGTAAAGAGGCTCTAATGACAAAGAAACTGACTGTGTATTGGGGCAAAATGACACACACCATGCTTGGTGTGATCTGTCAATGAAAAATCAATTAAAAATCAAAGGAGCTAAGAGCACTTTTTGTAATCTGTAAGAGTTATTTATAAATACACACAAGTCTAGTACTTAAAGGATTTTCTCAGCACTGTTTATTGATCCTCACACTAAAAATGTATGATACTTAAATTGTAAATACATTTTATCTACACACACATCATTGCTGCTAAGATACTAATTCAAATGAACACAAAAAGTCATCTTTTTGGACTATGTGAGGAAGCCGGAGAACCCGGAGAGAACCCACTAATGCACTTGGAGAACATGCAAACCCCACCAAGACAGAACCCGGGCAGGGATTACATCCAATTTACTTCTATTGATCGTTCATAAGCCTTTCATAATGGTATTTTTAGCAGCATCCAACAGTTATAAAGAAAAAACAAATACTGTCTCACTGTACAGCATTTGTTACACATTAAATAGCTAAAAAATGTACTGATCCTTATTTTAATCAGTTTAAAATATAAAAGAGAGACAAAACGTTAGTTTTACTTACACATTTAACATTTTAAAGTAAGAGAAGATGCTTGAGAAGATATGATGGATGATGCTTTGTAGTTTAACA